TTGGTTGGCCATCAACACTAGCAAGCAAGACAAGAGAAGAGGGGACCGCCCTCTCCTATTTGGGCCCTCAAAATAGGGTTTTTATTACTGAAAATGCTTTGGATTTTAGTGGTTAAAAGGCCACGAAAAGTTGTTTTGAAAGGCCTCAGAAGATGGCTCAAAAGCTATACAAGCTAAAGAACAAAAGGGAGAGACAACCCTCTAACACAAAATAGGCCTAAACCATCACTTTTAGGACTAAAAAACAGATATTTTCTCAGTTCAAAACCAAGCCAAAAACAGTTTGTAAATGTGGTAAAACAAACATGCAAAGCAAAGGTAGAAGGGGTGAGTGATTACCTTTGGAGCACAGCAGCAAAAACAGGCACTTTTCTTGAGCCAAAACCACCTTTTGGAGCTCAAACCAAGTTCCAAGGGACCTTAGCCCAATGGTGATCAAGTCTTCTTAAGGGTTGAAACGTTGAAGATGGTTGTATGCAAGCCTTCTAGCACAAATGCTCAAGAGAGGATTGTAGAGAGAGAGGTTCTAGTGTGAGAAGCTCCCAAACCTTTTGCCAAAAATGTTCTCTAAATGTTATAACCCTTGAATATGAGATATAAGGCTTCATTATATAGCAAAATATCAAGCTTGGTCGAAAATATCTGAGCTAGGACATGTGGCACAAGCTGGAAACAGCTGGAAGAGAAATATCTGTCAATTCTGGGCTTTCTAGACATTTTTGGCTGATCGGCCAACATTTGTGGCCAATAAGGTTCACTTTTGGCCGACCTATAGCTGCTGAGCTCCAATTGTGGCCGATGAAGTCCCATAGAGGCCGATGGAAAAAATCAGTCCTGGTCCCTGACTTGAAGCAAGCCTAATTCCTTTATCTGGACTCCTTTTCAAGTCATTCTTGAGCCTAAACTGTAGCCCCGGAAGTATTCTTTCCAAATTTGGAAGCCTCACCTAAAAATTATAAGTGTGCTAAGAGATATCCCTCTTTTAGTGAAGACTGCTCAGTTTCGGTCCAGCCGGAATGATGCCCAACTTCAGCCAATCGTATCTCCCCCATCTGGACTCAACTTTAGGAGATTCTTAAGTGAAAAATGAAGCCCCAAAAGTCTTGTTTCCAACGGTGGTGGCCTCATAGCTGAAATCCAAGTATACAAAAGGATAGGCCTGATTTAGCGAGGGCTGCTCGACTCTCTCTTAGCGATTCATGCCCATCTTCTTCTCCAACTTGGTTTCTTTCCTCTTCTCCTCTTTTCTTCAACTTCAAACCCCTAAACAAAGTGTTTTGAAAGATTTTTCAAAGATTTCATCTCTCTTTCATTCATTTCCACTTTGTCCTTGCTCGGTTTACCGAAAAGCGCAACATTTGACGAAATGCGAGCCTCGGAACATCGTATGAACTTTATTTCAAAAATATTTTGAAAAAGAGGGTTTTAAGGTCTAAAAACCATCCAAAATAGCTTTGGCCCAAAATGAGGTGTAATTTTGGGATTTGACTCTCCTCTTGCCGAAGAAATCGAACTTTTGCTCTGCACATCTTTCACCACCAAGTAAACCATCAGTAGCGCCCAAGTCTTAAGGGCGGTAAAAAATGGGGTGCCTACAAGTTACACAAGCTAATGGGCCGAAATTGGGTAAGCTTTTCTGGATTGGGCACTTTGGGAATGAGGACCAAATTAGTGTAGTTCAATTCCCTCAATATATGACCATTGGCAAAAAAACTATGAATCGCTGAGCAAACACCATCGCCTACTACCTCCCAATGAGTTTGGAAAAAAATACCAGAGTAACCGTCAGGGCCAGGTTCTTTCAAAGGTCCCAATTGAAAGGCAGCAGCTTTGATTTCTACATGGGAAACCAGGCGAGTCAGTGAATCATTCATTTCCACGGAAATAACCCTCTGAATGGACGATAGAGCTGAGATGAAAGATCGAGAAGGCAGACTTGTAAAAAGATGAGAAAAATAATCATGGAGGTGCGAATTGATCTCGTTGTTAGTTGATAGCCACCTACCCTCCTCGTTTTGCAATTTAACTAGCTGGTTTCGTTGACGCCGTTGGATTAAAGAGGCATGAAAAAAGGTAGAATTCTGGTCGCCTGACTGTAACCAATGAACCCGAGATCATTGGTGGAGAAACATCTCCTCACGAATGATCACCCTTGAAATTTCATCTTTAGTTTCTCTTTGGGCAGCAACATTTTCTTCAGACCAGTCAAGAGCTTGAAGATGAGACAACTTGGTCTTGAGCTCGGATTATTTGATACGATTATCACCAAATTCTATTTGGCTCCAGGATTTCAAAACCCATTTGCACCCTCTCAATTTTTGACAGAGCTTGAACATAGGAGAACCCACACATGCCTCAGCCCATTTCGGTCTTATAATCTCACGACAATTCGGAGAAGTAGTCCACATTGATTCAAATTTAAATTGACGGGGCATAGATTTCGGAGGCAAACAAGTATTAAGGATAAGTGGACAGTGATCTGACCCAAGGATAAGTTCATGGATAAGCTGTGAATACGGAAATAGTGCCCGTCATTCCACCGTTGCCATTGCACGATCAATTATTTCCCTGACATTATGCTGTCCCGACTGGTTGTTTGTCCATGTAAAACCGTGTCCCTTGAACTCCAAATCCATCAAAGCACAATCCTGAAGCAATTGTTGGAAGCCCAGAATTCTTCGAACCTTTGGACCCACTCCTCCAGTTTTCTCCCAAGAAGCTCTGATCTCATTAAAATCACCCATTCACAGCCAGGGATATTGATTTTCAGAAGCAAGAGTTCTAATAGAGTCCCAGAATAAGGCACGGATGTGTTTCCTGAGCGGTACGTGAATGAATGTGGCAAGCCAAGAGATACCGTGATGTGATAACACACACCGCAACAGGTTCGGATTCCGGGAGCGAATGTCAATATCTACCTCAGTTGTCCACCACAAAGCTAGTCCCCCCGCAAGCCCAATTGGGTCGACATAGGCACTATTGGCGAAATGCATACTACGGCGAAGCCGCGCTAGGACAGAGTGTTTATTCTTTGTCTCCATTAAGAAAACCACGCTGGGACGATGGGTTTTTGCACAACCCTCGGAGGATCTAGATTGTCAGGGGTCGCCCCAGCCCTTGACAATTCTAGCTGATTATAAACATGAGGGTTGTGGCTGTATGGGACCAGCCACCAATCCGTCTTGAGCAAACTTTGTATTTGAGGCATTAAGGGGTGTGTATGGGCTTGGCGAATCCAGACCAATAGTAACAGAATCAGAGGTAGGGAACCCTTGAGACAACCCCCTAGATGGTATCTAAGTCCATAGAATATGTTAAGTCTAAAGACAACATAGCGGATCCACTAACCAAAGGGTTAGCAAGAGAGTTAGTTGAAAATTCATCGAGGGGAATGGGGCTTAAGCTTATTAAATAAGAGTTACCACAACGGCAACCCAACCTAGTTGACTGGAGATCCCAAGATCTAGGTTTAAAGGGACAACCGAGTTGTGATTGACTCAGAAGGATCATTGTGGAGTCCAACTCCTACCCATTTCTATGATGAAATAAGTGATGTCTGCAGCGATTTAGGTTAAGTAATACTTTTAATGATTCTTATATCTAGGTAAACCTAGTGGAGTATGGCAGGATACTTTTCATAAGAATCACCTATGTGAGTGTGAACTGGGCCGGTTCTATAAGATTTGTGAAGGGTTAGATATAAGACCAGGTTGTTCAGGGCCAAAATGAACACAATAGTGAGAACTAAACTGTGTCTGGGAATATACTGTGTGAGTTCTATTGTCTTGGTTTACACAAACGGCTGAACAGTTCAAGACATCATGTTCACTGGTTAGCTAGTAAATCCGATAGTGTCTCACAAGGGAAGGTTCAAAGCCAAAAGCTACCTATCCTTTGTAGAATATTTTCGATTTCTGTACTCTCTGTTTTAGATCATGTTGTTGCATTTTCTCTCCGTCAAATTCCATTCATGTGGGGGATTGCTGGAAAAATGGTTTAATATAGGCATATTTTTTTAGCTCAATTTGAGTGGGCCCCAAACGTCTTTTGGAGTGGGTCCGAAGAAGTGTGGGTCCGAAGAGGTGAAGTGTTCCTTGTCGCGTGGCAAGTCACACGGTGAAGACGGAACGTCAAAACCATTTTTGAGTGAATGGGAAGTTGACGTCGTTTTCGAATCTAATATTAATTTTTTAGATAAAATTCTTTTGAATTTTTTTTTTAATAAAAAAAATTATTGTGGGAATTTAATTTAAATCTAAATTCAAATTTTTGGGTTCCTTAGTGGTTTCCTAAAATTTGTCAAATAGATTAATATTTATATTCCAAATAGGTTTTAATAAATCTATTCCACTATTGGCTTTATTGGATTAAACTATTCATATAGTTTAAATAAGAATATTCCAACAGTTTGAATATTTGTTAGTTTGAATATTTGTTTGTAAGGGATACTTTTTTCAATTAGTTTGAAAATCTGTTTGAATAAATATGTTCAAAAAGTGCAACGGATACTTTTTCATAAAAGGTTTGAAAATATTGTTCCAAGCAAACGGTCAGATCCTATTTCAAACTGTACCTGTTCGGATTCCTAAAGCACCTGTTGACCATGTTTCATACCTGTTCGGGCTGTGTAAATGTTGCCTATATATAGAGCCATATTCCAGCAGTCTAAACATTCAAAAAATTCAGTCTGATGATTGTCCTTTTGCTGTCCTAAATTTTGCATTGGTGCATTATTCTTCATTTTAGTATTAGAATAAAATTTAGAGAGTTAGAACACAGGTTTTGTTCGCCGAACAAATTGTTTGGAGTACTACTACAATTTGTGAAGATCATTGTATCTTGGGAGATAGATGCCACTCAACCGTAAGTATCGTAGCGGGGCGAATCTGTCTTAAGGATAGAGTGTCACACACTCGACTTGGTCTTTTAATTTTTGTTTGGTTCAACAAAATAATTTTTGTAAGTTTTATTTTATTTTGTTTGAATTATTTCAAGTTATTTTATTTTACACAAAAGATTGTTCCTACATCACGCACATCAGAAGCACGCGCTGCTTGAGGCTCTGATTCCTTCGTCAATCCATGATGTTTCCGTCCAAGAAGGGGTCGAATTCTGGCCTCCATCTCATCTATTTGCTGTTGGATGAACTCCACCGGTAAATTAAGCTTCGGAGCGACCCCAGTTCTCAAATGAGGACCATACCCAGAGTTACCTCTAGCTTCCCTCCCAATAAATTTGCAAGAATTTTTGTCGTGCCCAATTTTACCGCAATCATAGCAATAATCCGATAACCTCTCAAATTTAAAATCAATCCATTTCTCAGTGGTGTTCGACGTGTGTGGGTCCTTCCTCTTCATTAGAAAACCTCTGGGAAAGGGTTTAGAGATATCCAATTCCACTCTGAGTCGCAGAAAACTCCGATGTAGCAGTAAACCATCATGAGGAGCTTCAACCCCAATCAGCTGTCCCAAATGCTCAGCTATGAGTTGGCCGTTTCTTTCGGTTAATCGATCCACCGGGAGACCATGGACTTGAACCCAGAAGGGACAGTAAGAGAAGTCCATCTCAGAAACAGAGCAACCCATCTTTAAAGGCTGTAAGACTAGAAGATTTTCCATAATAGACCATGGAGCATCCCGGAGAACCTTTTGTCTATCCTCCTGGGTTCCGAACCGAAACAAGAAAACATTATCAGGCCAAGGAGAGACAGCAACGTCCTCCCCGGTCTTCCACGCACTTTGAATAGTTTTGGATACAACAGTTCGATTTAAGAGCTTTGATGCCAAGACCTTCCCTACCAAACACAAATGAGAGTTATCAGTGCTTTCATCGGAGCCCTCCTCCAAATCGATGGATACAAAACCTTCCATTGCGTCCCTAACCAAAAGCGATACAAGGACCAGCAGAACAAAACTATGGAACCAACACTGAACGAGTGGCAAGCAGAAGACACGATGAAGACAGAAGAAAAAGAAAGAGAAAACTGAGGTCCACCTGAAGAGCAGACCCAGATCAAAACTCTACGATGAATACACACACAACCTTCTCTTCACACCCACCAGATTTCTTAATACACCCCCTCTTGACTTTAACACAAGCTTAGCCTCCGTTTGGGAAGTCGGTTGGCTTTTTAGCTTTTTGGCTTTTTTGGCTATTTTAGCCTGGGCTAAAAAATTTGGTTTGGGAAGAGCTTTTTTGGCTTTTTGACTTTTTTGACTTTTTTTATGAGAGAAGAATGTAATGATTATGTGTTGGATGTGATATTTTGTTTTTTGTGGCTAAAATAGCCTATTTTATCTTTTGTGACTAAAATAGCCAAAAAAGTCCCGTTTAGCTCTTGCCAAACAGAAATATACACACATGTGCAAAGCTCCAGCTCCTCTTGTTTCATGAATTGATCAATATAAAACACGTTGGCACACAGCTTCGCAATTAATCACGTGAGTAGGATTAATTTAACTCTCAATTACATAATTAGTTTAATTAAATCATAATTAATCATATTTAATCTTGATTGGTGAATTCCAATATAACTCAATTAGCCTAATTGACTTTAATTAAGGCCCAATCAATCATAACTAAATTTATCAATCTAAATCAGATTTTTAATTAATACTTCAAAAGGCTCCAAATATCAAATTAAACTTATCACCATCATCAATCTTGGTTTCTCAAGTCATTAAGGTCTTCAATTTTAGATCAAACTCAAAATCTCCGTCAATAAATTACATATTCAATCGAACACCTCATAAATAAATTTACTTCATAATAATCTTAATTCTCAATCTTCATAACTTAATCAATTTCAATTCGGACCCAATTAATAAAATCTCAATTTTACTAAACTAAATCGAGTATTAATTAAACTCCCAAATGGGCCCGTATTTAAATTAAACTAATTAATTTCACTTCCTTAAGTTGTTTGGACCTTAATTTCTAATTCCAAATAAATTGTTATTAAAATCAAATGTGAATCAGACTCTAAATTTCTCATAAATCCCAAATTACATTAGAGTAATCACCAATTAGGATCCAAATCTCCTTAATCAATTAAACATAAAATCTCATACATAATGAGGTTGGCTTAATCTAAGGTTTATGTTAATTATGCTCAATTAATTCATTACAAATCGTAATTTTGCCAAATTTCACCGTAGGCTCTAAAAATCATGCTAAACACAGATATGAAATAGGTTTTGGTTTCTAGCGCCTCTAAGGCTATCTAGCGCCTCTAATGCTATAAATTTTTAGTTTAAGGTTCCAATTGTGACAAATTTTTCTACACCCAACATATATAAATTCATAATCACATAAGGACTCACATAATTTTACATACAAATTCATATCAAATATAGACTCACATGCGTCACATAATCAGATTCATATAAATTACTAATATAGACATTATTACAAACCCACATTAAAATTTGGGTTTTTTCAATACACAATCCACTCTTTTCTTTTGCTGTTGTTCATAAATTTCTTGAGTTACTTTTTTTCTTTTCTGATTAATATTTTTATCAAATTTTGTATATATGCATGTATTTGCATGTTATGTGTGTGCTTTCATACGGATTTGGGGGTTATTGAGCCAATGATAATTGGTCTGACAAAAGGATTTTTTCGATCAAAAATTGAAATAACCATAAATTGACTCGTTTGATAGTTAGATGTGTATACATTGGAGTCTTGAATGGAGATTAAGGTTGAAGCATTTAACATCGTGAATAAAACTCTCCTTAGTGTTGAGTGTGTGTATTATATTATTTTGAATAGGGTAAAATTGAAACAATTGTGTGTGGATTGAGAGACATAAAATATTTCAAATTCATTAAGTGTATATCTTCAGAGATGATGTACATAAAGAACAAATGGTGTGTAGAAAAAAAATTACTCTAAAAGCTAAAAGCTAATTTTTAGCTAACTTTCCAAATTACCACAGAGAATCCATTATTCACCACAAATCGCAATCACATTCACATTCAATTCAAGAACAGTGGTAGTATGCTCTTTTGTACGAGTATTCATTCACAACAATCACAGGACATGCCATACATTAATTACCGGAACGAAGAGCCAAGTTGGGCAACCAAACCACCCTCCTCAACTTAAGCCGCTCGTTTTAAAATTATACCATACCACACCATACCATACCACACGATTTTCTTGGGACACAAGGATATTATTTTACTTTTAATTTTTTAATTTTTTTTAAATATCTTATTTCTTTCAAATTTATTCAATAATCAATACACATGGCTGATCCTGAAAATAGAAATAAAAACACTTCCACCTATTAGTTTTCTGAAACTATCTTATAGTTGGATAGGAATTTTAGGAGAAAATTATATAAATGAAATATAAATTATTATTTTTTATATTTTTCTTTCATTATCTTTTTCTTTCACAAATCTATAATCCACTTAAGTATTACTATTTTTTTTTTTATTTACCTGAATAAATTTTTTTGACATCACTTACAAATTCAATAAGCAAATTACACCAACCTCTCTTAAGATTTAAAACAAATGCAATATATCATACAATTTTTTGACATAATTATATTGACTTCCCTTCTAATATGATTAAAAAGGTCGAAACTAATGCAGATGTTTGAAAATATAAAGATAAACAATGACAAATATATATATTTCAGTATTGTTGGCTTATTTTTCATACGAATAAAAATATGCGAGCATACCAGTAAGAATTGAAAAATTCTTACAGATGAAATTCAAGTCAATTATGAAGCGATTACATTAACGATTTTTTTGGCTCAATTGAGTGAACAATCACAGTAGCTATTAATTCACGTCTACGAAATGCATAAAATAAAGTGTAGGAAATATAAATGAAAAGAAAAATAGAAATTAATTGTCTTTGATTTGAAATGGATCATTACAATGTAGCCATAAATGGCTTTTTATAGGCAAAGACTTGTAGGAAAAAGCTAGGGTAAATTATAAATACACCCCTGAGGTATGCTTAAAATACAGATCGCCCCCTATAGTTTAAAAAATTACAAATAACTCTTTGTTAGTATTTTTTATTTAACAGAATTAATTAAAAAAATAAAATTCATAATTGTTTTCCTGTACAATAATAAAATTACCTAAATTATTAATTAAAACATATTTCTAACATCACTAAAAACTGTTAATTAACTTAATGATTTATTAATAAAATTGACGATTTGTTATGAAATTAGGAACCTCAGGGGGTGGAATGTAATTTCCAAAATCATAGAGGGCGATTCGTATTTTAATCAAATCTCAGGGAGTGTATTTGTAATTTACCCAAAAAAACTACATAGTAACTACCCTATTCTTCCATCTTCTCCATTTCTTTTTTGGTGAGTAATCTTCTTAATTTCATACTCTATGATCTTCCATAACTTCTTTCAACCTCCACTTCATGCTCTATATTTTCCACTTTGTCCTCCACTTTATCCTCCATCATCTTTTCACATGTGTTTAGTACTTCATAACTTTTCATAACTTTCAAATGAGTAGGAGGGTGTCACATGTCCTACAATTATATAAATAATAAATAATAATAAAATTACAAATTTATGGTGACAACGAGTATAAAAGAGATGTCATTATTTTTTCATTCATATGACTAACGAATAATTAATGAAAATAAATTAAGTGTTATATCAATTAAAATCTTAAAAGAATTCAATATAATTATACTAAATTTATAAAACTTGTTATATTTTTATTTTTAAATTTCAAAGGAAATCAATATAATTTATCGTAATTCAATTGACACCAAGTTGGGTTAAAATGATATTTTTGTTCAATTTTAAACAAAAGTTAATGAATGATCAAAGTTAGAAGGGATTGTATATTTTGACAATCAAAGTAGGTGTGGGGACATATTTCTTGAATGACAGCACGTGGCCAAGGTGACGTCGAAGTGTCAGCCGAGGTGCCACGTGGTTTGGTCTTGATGCCAAGGTCAAGGTTATCTACGGAGATATCAGAATCCGAGATGAGCGGATAAAGGACAGGAGTTCTGGAATAGGGGAGGACCTCAGTCTGGATAAGGATAAAGCTCTTAGGGAGTTTATCCCTATCTAGCTGAGGGTCCAAGATAGGCATTGAGCCTGAGTCCACTGTAGTGAGGCTTCTATAAGGATCAGGTCAGTGTTGGCTATAAAAACATGGCACCCTCGTAGGTCTAAGGTATGCTTTTATTTGTAATATACTGTGAGCAGTAAGTTAATTCTTATGAGTTAAGCACAATTTGCTATCTTTGAGAGATATTTGATTATTAACTTGAGCGTCGGAGTGCCCCTGGGTGGACGAACCACCGTCAAATTCTTATCTTTCTGTGACAGGTTGTTCGGGCTTAATTTATTCTGCCGGTGCTCTTCAGCTGAGTTTCCCGTTTGGTTGTGTGGTCAGAAATCACCACCCACAATTTGGGGCCGTCTATGGGAACGTAAGGAGAATAGATGACCAATAACGAGCAGGGAGAAAAGATTGGGGACAACATCTAGAAAACATGTTAATCTTAACATGGAGGAAGAAAACCATAATAAAGGAGTACGGGATCAGAATCCCGGAGAGAAGGACGTCAACTAGGAGGGTGACGCACTGAAGAAATCAGGCCGAGACGAGTATTACAATGAAAGTGACCTCCAGGTATGGAAAGACAGATGCCTGAAGAGGGACGATGAGATGAAGGGAACGACAAACAAGTTGGCAGACCTACAATCAGTTGTCAACTTCATGATATAGAACAAGGTCATGCAACCACCGTTTCTGCTGAAAGACACGTCGATGCCAGCGACCAAGAACGATGCCCAAAGAGGGGGCAAAGAGCAATCCCAGCAGTCCTTCAGCACAACAAGGAGAAGGAG